TAAGTTCTATAACAATTTCTGTGTGTTTTACTCTCATACATATGTGTTTCTCCAGATATGTTTCCTGGCCTATTTCTGGATCAGTTTCAGATATTGTACCTATGATCTCTTCATACATCAACATGTATCTGCTATAAACAAGGACATCCTCTTTCTGATAACAAGAGGATTTCCATTAAGATCAGGCAGTTGGATGAGAACCAGCATTCCCATCTGGTCCACAGACCTCATTCACTTTCTCTGATTGATCCAATAATGCCCTTTGCAGGTTAGGATCCAATCAAGGAGTATTGGATTTAGCATTATCATTTCTCTAACCTCAGGATGTAAATCTCCGACTACTTGTTTAGCGCCAAGAGCACTTGTTTTGGGGATTTTATCTATTTTTATGGATGCTTTTCACTGATTGCATCCCTAAAGTTCACAATTTTCTTAACATGTTCACTGCCCTTTCTTTCCCCTCTGGTATCTTTTATGAGTTTGATTGAGTTTCATTGTTTATGCTGTTTTTAATTTTTCTTTAACTATTTTGAGGTTATGTATTTTTATTCAATAATTACTCAATTTTTGCTGTAGGAAAATGATCTTTTAGATAAAATTTATTTTTGGAAAATTAGATTTGAAAAAAATTAAAAAGCAGCAGAGAATTCCTATATTCCTCTGTCATTACCATTTACATTAGAACCCGTGCTAATCCTCTGTTATTAGCCAATATCCATATGGCATCAGCTTTTTCTAGTTTCTGTCTAGGAGCCCAGAGCTCATACTGTTTATCTGAAGTCATTGTCCACATAGGCTCCACAGGCAGGGCTGCTTTCTCAGCCTCTCCCTGATCGCCAGGATTCTTAACAGTTGAGAAGGGGGCCCAGTTGGATGTTTTGCACAATATCCCTGAATTGGGGTTTGTCTGTTGTTTTCTTTCTTTTTCTTTTTCTTTTTTTTTTTTTTTTTTTTTTTGGTTTTTCGAGACAGGGTTTCTCTGTAGCTTTGGTGCCTGTCCCGGAAATAGCTCTGTAGACCAGGCTGGCCTCGAACTCACAGAGATCCGCCTGTCTCTGCCTCCCGGGTGCTGGGATTAAAGGCGTGCGCCATCACCGCCCGGCTGTCTGTTGTTTTCTTATATTTATACCGAGAATATGAGGATATGTGAGTGTGAGAAGACCATTAGAAGTAAAGCACTGTTTTATTTCTGATGGTTTAGTTGCTTTTAAAGATGGTCTCACCATAGCAGGTATGGTGGCACACACCGTTTTAGGCCCAGCACTTAGGAAGCATAGGCAGGAAGTTCTGTATAAGTATCCATAATTATCCACAATTAGTACTAGGCCTAAGTAACTATCAGACTCATCAGGACACAGAGATGGATGTGTGGTCCATGTCGGAGGACAGCTTCTCTTAGGAATGTGAGCATGCAGATGCCTCTGACATGCTGGCTTCAGTTTCAGGCTGTAGTTGCTTAGATTCCTCCCAACCATATGCCCAGATTCCCTTTTCTCCATACCCTCTCCAATATATGCTGTCAGTCATCTCTCTGCCAACTGTTGTCAATTAGAATAAAGTTTACCTGGGGGAGTAACTTAGTAGTAGAGCCATGTTTGCCATACACAAGCCCTTCCTTTCCTTTTTGTGGGCAGTCTTGCTAGGTAGCATGGGCAACCTCAAGAGTGTGATCTTCATGTTGTATACCACCATGCCTGGCTTTGTTGCTCCTTTAACTTGTGTTTCCCCAAAGACTAGAGTGCTGTACATTATCTTTTTATTCATCTGTTGACCGAAAATATGATTTCTTTGGGGGAATGTCCCTTATCCAGTTTTAACTAGTTTACTCTCTTGCATTGGTTTTTGTGGTGCTGGGAATAGAGTTCTAATTCTGGTCTTCTGTGTTTTCCCACCAGCAGTTCCTGAAGACATTACCTTTAATGCCATGTACATTCTCAAAAAGCAACTGTCTGTTAGGGTTACACCTGGGCTTATATCTAGGTTGTCTATTTTATGCTACTATGTTCTACTTTTCTTTCTGACAGCTTTGTAGCATACAGATTGAGTATACCTTACACAGCTTTTAGATCATTTTGGATTTCTGATTTTATATTAGACTTACCCAACTGTGGTTTGAGGTCAGGGGCCTGATGCTTTTATGTTGTCAATGTCTGGCCCTCTCACTTTTCATACTGGCCTCCCTCACATGCCTTTCTCTTACTTTCAACTGTGTCCTGGGATCTGTGACTTGTGATTGTTTTCTGTTCTTCAGGTGTTTGTTTAAATCGAGACTCACACATGGGGAAATGGCTCAGTCATTAAGAATTGGTTCCCCGCATCCATGGTGGGCAGCTAGCAGCCAGCTGTAACCCATCTATCTCCAGGGGATCTGACACCAACTTCTGACCCCCAAGAGCATACATGCATACATTTTTTTTTTTTTGAGATAGCGTTTCCCTGTGTAACAGTCCTGACTGTCCTGTCCTGGGACTCACTCTGTAGCCCAGACTGGCCTTGAATTCAGAGATCCATCTGCCTCTGCCTCCTAAGTGCTGGGATTAAAGGTGTGTGCCACCACCGCCCATCTTAATTTTTAAGAATTAAGAACAAATGAAAAGTAAAATCTAGAATCTCCATTTGAGACAAAGTATGTGACATTCGTCTTTCTGAAGTAAGCTTTTTACATTTAATGTTATAGTCTTGAGTTTCGTCTATTTTCTTGCAAACTATATGACTTCATTCTTCATGTAACTGAATAGTATTCAGTTGTGTACATGTACCACATTTGAAAAATCCATTTATCCACTGATGGATATCCAGGTTGATTCTAAAACTGGCTGTATTCACTCGCGCTGTAAAAGCACATCATCTGTGATGTTAGCTGCGGCCTCTTCACTGTGATATGAGCATGAACAGATATTGAATTTTGTCAAATGCATTAGTGCATCTATTATGATAATCATGGATTTTTTGTTAGTATTCTACATATCGTATGTATTCCACATATTGATTTAGGATGATTTTTGTTGTTGTTGTTGTTTCGAGACTGCATTTCTCTATAGCTTTGGGGCCTGTCCTGGAACTAGCTCTTGTAGGCCAGACTGGCCTCAAACTCACAGAGATCCATCTGCCTCTGCCTCCCAAGTGCTGGGATTAAAGGCATGCGCCACCACTGCCCAGTTTAGGATGATTCTTTTATCTCTGCAATGAATCCTATTTGACAGTGGTGAAAGGTGTTTTTAATGTGTCACTTGATCTTATTTGATAGTATTTGGTTGAGGAGGAATTCTGTCTTTGTATTAATATTGTCCTGTGGTTTTCCTGTAGTGTTCTTGTCTCTCTTTGAAACAAGAAAAAATGAGTTTAGAAACAGTTCCCCCTACCCGGGGGTGGGGTCTGTGGAAAGATTTGTTATCTTTTCAGTTGTGGATAGAATTCCCTAATAGTGTAGTCTGGGAGACTTTTTATTGCTGACTTACTCTCTTTAGTTATTTTTTTGATCTATTCATATTTATTTCTCCCTCAGTTGGTCTTGGAAGGTTACATGTGTTTGTGAATTCAGGTATTTCTTCTGTGGGGCTGGAGAGACGGTGCAGCAGTTAAGAACACTACGTCTCTAGAGGATATGGGTTTGAATCCCAGTACCCACATGGCAGATCACATTCATTCATAAGTCCAGTTCCAGGGGATCTGACACCCTTTGCTGGCCTCCGCAGGCACTGCATGCACACAGTGCACAGACATACATGCAAACAAATGTCAGTCATTTCTTCTAGATTACCCACCTTGCTAATGATTAGCTGTTCATAGCAGGCCTTTAAGATCATTTGTGTTTCTGCGATACCAGTTGCGATGCCTTCTCTTTTATTTCTGAGTGTGTTTGGGTCTTCTCTCATTTTTATTTGTTATTGTAGCTGAAAACTTATGTAAAGATAAAATGACAATGAAAACAAAACAAAACAAAAAAAGCCCAGGTGAATAAGGAGTTGAAGTCCAGCCTCAGCTACAGGAAATTGGAGGCCAGTCTGGACTCCTTGAGACTGTGGAACCTATCGGGTCAGCTGGTCTTACCCATGTCCCCAAGGCTGGAGCTACACAGCAGGCACTTCGTCCACTGAGCTGTCTTCCCAGCCAGCCTGATTTTCTGCATTCTGTTTTCTTTCTTTCCATTCGGAACTTATTTTCTTTTCCCCTTTGCTGTGTTTGGCTTTTCCTTTGTCTTACTTTCTAGCTGTCTGAGGAGTACGATGTGAGCATGTGAGACTTTCCCCGTTTGGATGGAGATTTCCTATCAGGACTACTTTCGGTTGGAGTGTATCATGCCTCCATTTCCCTTTGTCTCCAGTTACTGTTTGCTTTCCCTCCTGATTTTTTTTTCTTTGACTTACTGATTATCAAGAAGAGTGATGTCTAATTTGTACATGTTTGTGAGATCCTCTAGCTTTCTCTCACTGTTTAGATTTAGTGGCCAGCATTTTGACTTCTTGATGAATTAGCCACTTTGCATTATTTAATGATCTGTTTCTTTGGACCATGTTGGAGTGCTTGACTTCCGTTTTATTTTTTTCTGATGTAAGTATAGATACTCTAGTTTTCCTTTGTTTTCCTTTGCATTTCCATCCCTTATTTTTTAAATGGCATAGATCATATTAAGAGTATATTTCAGAGTGCACCTCAATGGTAGAATGCATGCTCAGTACATTCTAGGTTCTGGATTCAGTTCTGAGAGACACAAATAATAATAGTAAGAACAAAGAAAATATTTCAGGCCAGGCAGTGGTGAAAAGAAGTCTTTAAAGAGACAGTAAGGGATGGTGCATGCCTTTAATCCCAGCACTTGGGAGGCAGAGGCAGGTGGATCTCTGTGAGTTTGAGGCCAGCCTGGTCTACAAGAGCTAGTTCCAGGACAGGCTCCAAAGCTACAAAGAAACCCTGTCTTGAACTCCCCTCCCCCAAAATTCAGTATTACTGTTTTACTTTAAAAACCACCTAAATTTAAAATTATTATTTTTTATTTGTAGGATATGGAGACTTGGATGATTTTAATCTGGAGGATGCACTGAAAGAAACTTCCTCAGTAAAGCGTGAGTCAAGCAAACAATCATGAAAAGCAGCTACCAGTGATCACCGAGGACTGCACTCACCATTTTCCCTTTAGGGAAGCAGGCACATTCAAGAAAATTAGCTACATCTTTTCCATCTGTTTTCTATTACACGTTCAGGGCTTTTGTCATAGAGACATACATATGTCACCATACTTTATTATTTAATGTATATTGCGTGCATGAGAGGATGTGTATGCCCATCTTAGCTTTTTCCATGCTCTACAAAAAGAGAACTTTGACCTGTTTCAGTGTTCTCACTTTTTTTTTGTTTGAAACAGGATCTCTCTCTGGCTGTCCTGAAATTTACTGTGCAGACCAAGTCATCTTTGAACTCACAGAGATCCACCTGCCTCTGTCTCCTAAGTGCTGGGTTTAAAGGCATGCACCACAACAGCTTGAACCTACATCATCTGAAAAGTTATTTTCTTGTTTATTTTTATTTCATTTTAAGTGCTTACGTGTACATGAGGGAGGTGTGATAAGAGCCCAGATACTGTGCAGCTGGAGTTACAGGTGCTTGGGAGCTGCCTGACAGGGATTCTGGGAAGCAAACTTGGGTCCCCTGCAGCAGCAACAGTGACTCTTAAGCACTGAGCGGTACTTCCAGCTCCAGAAGCCATGCCATTTTATCATTCCTCTTAGTGGGATTCCTTGGAGGCCCTCACCTGTGTACAGTGACCTCAGGAAATGATACCAAGGCTAGTCTCCTCCTGATATGATTTCTGCAAGCCATGAAGTGGCACACACACACATGCACGGGTACGCACACATGTGCATGCACACACATGCGCATGCACACACATATATATACAATACATATATTACTTAATTTGCTCCTCTTCTTGTTCTCCCTCCTCCCTTCAGAGAGATGGGACCACTTCAGCATCACAACTAGAAGGCCGGGAACGACCAGAGCCCCAGCAAATCCAGCAGGTAATAATGAAGTGAAAATGAATGAACTTTATGCCCTGGCAATGCTGAAGCATGCATGGGCAGCCCATATCTGGCCGTTCTGTTGAACTTGTCCATATTAGGTTTCATGGTCTAAGTTGATGAAGACGACTAACCAGGTCTCTTCCTCAAGAGGACACCGGATCTCTTTACAGATGGTTGTGAGCCACCATGTGGTTGCTGGGAAGACCTTTGGAGGTGCAGGCAGTGCTCTTAACTGCTGAACCATCTCTCTAGCAGGCAGCAAGACTTGCCTAAATGGGACTTGAGCAAGTCAAGGTTCTGCTGAGAAGGGAAGTGAGGCATCTTGGGCAGTATCCGAATGAGCTGTACAGAGGTTTTACACATATATGAAAGCCATCAAAGGCATCCATCTGAATATTAGACTTATTTCAGCAGAATACTGTCTGCTTGATTATTATGCCTTATGTTAAGATAGTAAATTTACTTCATTGATGCTTTGGGTGATTGAGATGTAGGCTGCCAGAAACCAGGTACGAAAGGAGGAGAATCACATCTGACTGAAGCCACAGGCTAGCCATTTAGTTTCCTGGTAGGGTCCGTTCTTACTAACTACAGTATAAATATGAGCTATTCTTGGTCTGGCAGAGGGGGACAGCCTCAAACCACAGAACTCTTGAATGGAGATGCTCAAACATTTTCTCTAAATTCTCTAAATTTTTGACGATCTCAAGAGAATTTGTTTATGTGGGCCACATCTATAAATATTTCTCATCTGAGAACTTAAAAATGAAAAACTGTTATTAATCTAAAGAAAATAAATTAACATATGCATCGACATATGTGGCAGATTTCTATGAGAAATAACATTGCTTATAAGATGAAAACACAATTTAGAGTACAGAGTAATTTCTGGCTTGATAGGATACACCTGGAGTCTGTGTGTGTGTGCACACGAGCGCACGCATGTGTGTTTGTGTGTGTGTGTGTGGTGCTTTGAGACAGGATCTTACTATGTAGCCCAGGATGGCCTGGGACTCACTAGATAGATCAGAACTCACTAGGTAGACCAGGCTGGCCTCAAACTCACAGAGATCTATCTGCTTGCCTCTGATCCCACACCCCATCCCCAGACACAAGCCTGGGTTTTCTTCCTGTATTACACTGGACCTCAGGAGCTTTCAGCAGCTCAGGATAGCAGCAGATAGAAGAATGGGGACCAGAGATGTGCGCCACCTCACCAGGCTCCTCCTGGATTCTTATATCCGGCAGAAAAAGGAAAGAGAACTTAAGGTGACTTTGAGACTAGTTGAGACATCCTCCTCAGATAGAACACCAAAGCCCAAACAGTGTTTTTTTTTTGTTTTTGTTTTATTTCGTTTTGTTTTATCCCAGATTAAATGTGTGACGTGTAACTCAGCTCCATTGAGCCCCATTGGACTCTCCTGTTCTTGGAACTGGTCTTCTGCCCATTCATTGTTTACTAACACCATGCACTGGTCACTTGGAAACACTGGTGCGCTGACGAATGCATGTGCCCATATTTCACTCTGTTGTATTTCAAAGTCCCACTGATTAGCATTGCCACCCACCTCACTGAAAAAAGCCCTCGGCAAGTTAAACACAGGACCCTTAAATAAACTTAGCAGTTTAAAACATTTAATTTTTTTCTAAGTTTACCTGTGATGACTCTCACATTTGTCTTTACTAAGTGTTTTTAAAAGTGTTTGAAATTTTATTTTGATTTGGCTTTGGATTGGAGAAAAATTTACTTATTTCCTTTTTTATAGTCTGACAATGTAGCCAAGGCTACTGTTTATTTTTTTTTTTATTTGTACGTCATCTTAGAGTAAGCCCCATGTTTTCTTCATCCAGGCTTGGTTTGCGTATCTGCCGTTCTAGTCAGATGTGGATAGTTCTGTCACTGAAGCACCCTGTGACTCCCTGGACAATCACACCTGTCCTTCGCTTCCATCCTCCTTTCCCCTCTCCCCTAATTCCCAGCTGCCACTAATCTGTTTTCCATTTATAAAATGTCATTTCAAGAAGGTTATGTAAATGTGATGCAAAAGTAGACAACCTTTAGGAGTTGGCTTTTTTTGTGTAGCTTAATTCAGTTGGGGTGCATCCAACTTGTTGCGTGTATCAATAGTTTATTTTTATTGGGGAAGAGTTTTCATAGTATGGAGGTACCAAAGTTGGCATAGTGCTTTCTGTGTGGAAGGAGTTCTGAGTTGTGTCTAGTTTGGGACTACTTCTATGAGTAAAGTTGCTGTGGAATTTCTTGTGTGGCTGCATTTGTAAATGTAAGCTTTCCTTTCTCCAGGAATAATGCCCAAGAGTGTGATGGCTAGACCAGGTGGTATTCTCATACTTTAAAAAAAAAAAAAAAACAAGAAGTGGTTGATTCTTCAAGGAAGGTTATATTAGTCTTCATTCCCTCTAGCATTCTGTGAGGGATCCAGTTTTTCTACAATTTAGCCACCTTTGTGTAGAAGGTTATGTATTGCTGTGAATATGTTTTATTGCTACTGGTTAATAAAGAGGCTGCTTTCGACAAATGGCTTAACAGAATATAGCCAGTCTGGAAGAGGTATATATAGAGAGAGTAGGCGAAATCAGAGAGCAGCCATGTAGCTGCCCGCAGGAGACAGATGCACCAGGACCTTGCCAGTAAGCCACAGCCACGTGGTGATACACAGATTAATAGAAATGGGTTGATTTAAGATATAAGAGTTAGCCAGAAATACGCTTAAACTATTGGCTAAGCAGTATTGCAATTAATACAGATTTCTGTGTGATTATTTTGGGAGTCTGGGTGGCTGGGAAACGAACAAGCAGCCTCCTCAACCCCTTGGGAGTTTTCGCTATTTGACATCCTAACCATTGTATCGGAGCTTTAACCTGTGATCCACATGCTTATTTGTCCAGTGTATTTCTTGTAAGTGGAATGTTTGTTTATGCATATTCCAGTTTTTAATTCACCTTAACTCATCATCTAAAATGAAAAAAAAATGAAACATGATTGTTGTTCCAACTTGTTTTTGACCTGGGACTGCTGACACTACCTTTAATCCCAGCACTGGTGAGGCAGAGGAAGGTGGATCTCTGTGATTTGGAGGATAGTCTGGTCTACTGAGTGAGTTTCAGGATGCAGTAAGAGCCTATTTCAAAAATAAATTATGTCTGGCTTGTCCTTTCATCTTCTGCCCAGTTATTAATCAGATTGCTGTTTCCTTTGTGTTTTGGGGCCCTCTGAAGGAAGTAATTTTGACTTGACTGATGCATTAGCTGATGGAGATGATGGGCGCCGAAAACCAGGTACAGGAGGAAGAGGTGAGTCATTACTGGCTGAACTACAGGCTAGCCCTAGCACTCTCTGCTGGCTCTGTTCACTTTTATTTTATTGGTCTGGTTATATTTGGGGGTATTTATTTTTCATGTACATAGATATTTTTGCCTGCATGCATGTCTGTGCACTACATGCATGCAGTGCATGTAGAGGCCAGAAGAAGTCATTGAATCTTCTGGAATAGCAGTTACAGATGGTTTTGAGCCATCATGTGGCTGCTGGGAATCAAATCCAGGCCCCTGGAAGAGAAATCAATACTCCTTAACCATGGAATCACCTCTCCAGCCCTGAATCTGTCTTATTGACTTTAACAGCCCTGTGTACCACAGGAGAACCCTCAGACAGAGGCATTTAAGCATTTTGATCTTCATATTTCCCTAGTTATTGAGGATCTCAAAAGATTTTGTGTGTATTTTATCTATTGATGTTTATTATGTAAGAACTTAAAATGGAAAAGACTTCACTAATCAATTGAAACTTAGCATTAAAGACGTGCACATGCTGGCTGTGGTGGTGCACACACCTTTAATCCCAGCACTTGGGAAACAGAGGCAGGTGGATCTCTGAGTTTGAGACCAGCCTGGTGTACATAGTGAGTTCCAGAACAGATGGGTTACATAGTGGGACCCTGTCCCCAAAATGCATATTATCATACATACTTTAGACTTTCTTACTGTTGAGTTTTAAGAAGTCTTTACATATTCTAGACATTAACTCTTAGATATGTCTATTCTATATCTTACATTTTTGTTCTTTGTTAAAGAGACTTTAACAAAGTCTTCTCTGGAGTGAACAGTTTTAAGTTTGATTGATTATGCTTCTTCTGCAAGGTCTGAGAGCTAGAAACTCTGTATTCCTGGGCCCCATAGATTTTCCTATCTTTTTTCCTTAAAAGTCTTTTTATTTACTGTAAACATCAACTTGCTCAAAATTGCTCCTTTGTGCATAAGGCTACCTTTCTATTGAGTTGCTTTAGAAACTCTGAAAAAAAAATCAATTTTTGTTTGTTTAGTGTGTTTTGACACAGGGTCTTGCTGTGTAGCTCTGTCTGGCCTGGTACCCAGTTTGGCCTCAGAATCACAGGAATCTACTGTGGATCTACTGTTTCAGCATCTCCAGGGCTGGGATTATAAACCTTCTAGACCTTTTGTGTTTTATTGAGGATCTTGCATACATATTTTTTTTTTTTTTTTGGTTTTTTCGAGACAGGGTTTCTCTGTGGCTTTGGAGCCTGTCCTGGAACTAGCTCTGTAGACCAGGCTGGTCTCGAACTCACAGAGATCTGCCTGCCTCTGCCTCCCGAGTGCTGGGATTAAAGGCGTGTGCCACCATCACCCGGCTTTGCATACATATTTATAATAGATATAAGTCTGTATTTTTGTCAGGTTTTGGCATAAAAGTAATGCTATAAGTATGATTTACTAATTTCCTAGGTATTTCCTGATCCCCTGAAGTTGACCATCAGGATAAAGCATCATAGGTCCTATTTAGCCACATTCTGATCTCAGTGTCTCCTACAAAGCAGCAATCCAGATGTCACTTGGTGCCAGGGTATCATTTGAAATCTGAGGTTCTGTGAGCTTCCTTTTGCTGCCCTTGTAGGGATGAATGACCACATACCTTGTTGCTTAAACAACAGGCATGCATCTTATAACCACTGAGGGGAAATGCAGAAGGAATATGATAGGCTTCAGTAAGCATCCTAGCAGGGCTGCATTCCTTTTGGAGACTGTATGGGGAAATTTGTTTCTTCACTTTTTGTCACCTACATTCTTTGGCTTATGGCTACTTCTTCCATCTTTAAAAACATGAACATGTTAGAGTTTTCTTTTTTTCCAGTTTGTCTGTTTTTGTGTATTTGTTTGTAGCCCAGGCTAGTTTTAAAACTCCTTATATAGTTCAGGCTGCCCGTGAACTCCTGGATGCTCCTGAGTCTGCCTCTCAAGTGTTGGGATTGTAGGTGTGCCCCACCACACTGGCTTTTTAGGATCTTCTTTGCTTACAGTCCTGTTACTTCCACACACAGTTGAGCATCCTTCACATTTGGATGTCTTTTCTTGTTCTTGCTGGTACAGCTGGTACTCTATTGAATAGAACTGGTAGAGTGGGCATCTTTGTCTTGTTCCTCATGTTAGAAGAAAAGCTTTCAGTGTTTGACCCTTCACTGTGATGATACCTGTTCCCTTATCCTATGTGGCCTTCATTTGATTCAATGGCACTACTTTGCCAAAGTTACTTTTCTAGGTGTTGTGAGGAAATACTCTGAGAAAAGCAGCTTAAGGGAGGGTTGTTTTTGTTCAGTTTGAGAGTGTACAGCCCATCATGGTGGAGAAGACACAGCATCAGCAGCATGAGTTGGTCACATTGCATCCATAGTCAAGAAGCAGAGAGAGAGAGAGAGAGAGAGAGAGAGAGAGAGAGAGAGAGAGAGAGAGAGAGAGATATGACAGCTTGTGCTGAGCTCACTTCATGCTTTTTGTACAGTCCAGAAGGTGCCATCCACTGTGGGTGGATCTTTTCAAGACAATTAGCCTAGTCAAGACAATCCCTTACCACATAGGTAGAGGCCTGCCTCCAAGATGGTTCTAGAACTTCTCAAGTTAACAACTGAGATTAACCACACCATAACTTCTATAGCTAATATGTTGAGAATTTTCATCAAAAAGCTGTTCAGTTTTATCAAAGTCTCTTCTTTGCCTACTGAGATGATTACATGATTTCTATTCTTCATACTTTTAATGTTTATTGATGTAAGTTCTGCTGAACAATCCTTGTATCCCAGGCATAAATCCAGTTTTGATCATGGTGTGTAATCTTCTAAGTGTGCTGTTGAATTCAGTTAATTCAATACAGTTAATTCTGCTAATGCTTTCCTGATGGTTTTTGTCTCTGTTCATGCAGTTTTGCTTGTTTGTGGCATTCTTGTCTGGCTTTGGCATGAGGGTCATGTTGGTTTCATGAAGTAAATTTGGAATTATTCCCTCCTCTTCAAATCTGCAAGAATTTGAGAAGGATTAGCTTTAATTTTTCTTTGAGTTCTTCAAAGAATTCATATTTATAGCCATCTGTTTCCCAGATATTTCTTTGTTGGGAGGTCTTTGATTATTCAAATTTTAAATGATTATTCATCTGTTTATATTTTTAGTTTTCATAATCAAGTCTTAAGTGTTTGTGTGCTTCCAGAACTCTGTCCAATTTGTTGGAATATATTGTCCATTGTATTTATTTAGTATTAGTTGCAACATCTCCTCTCTTATTTATAATTTTGAATGATTATAGTGAAAATAAAGATTTTTAAATTTTTTTTTACTTTTTTTAAAAAGCCAACTCCAGCTTTCCTTCCCTTCTTCTACCCATTTCTTTGTCTCCTTTTGTTTTGTGGAACAAATCTAAGACATCATTGTAAATAAATGTATGCTTACCTCTGAACTGCAACTCCAGCTCACCGAACTTGAACTCCATTAAAGCTTTCTATGGCTTTTCTTTTCTATAATCCTTTGTCCTTCTTGCTTTCTCCATATTCTCCTGCTCCTTCTGTGCCTCTTCTTCCTCGTCTTCCCTCTTTAGAGACTGGGTCTTACTCTCTTAGTAAGTAATCCTGGCCGGTCTCTAATGCAAGCTTCCTGAGTGCTGGGCATGTACCATTTTACCTGGGCTTTCCAGCTTTTTAACAGTTTTTTTCTCTTATGGGTCATGGTTCTGTTGTCAAACGTGTGAACTCTTTACCAAGCATTCAGTTCTGAAATGCTTCCCTCTGAATTTTTTATGATTTTATATTTAAGCAAATGTAATCCATCCATTAGCATTTAATTTTATATAAAGTGAAACCCATTGCTTTTTATTTTGGAAGTCTAATTATTCCAACACCTTTTGCTGAAAAGATTCGTTCCTCTGTTGAGTTGCTTTGCATATGTATACAAATGCCAAAGCAGATCTGAGGTCTTTTGAGCTCTTCATTCTACTCTGTTGCCCTGTGTATCTATCTATCTATCTATCTGCCACATCTTGACAACTGTAACTATAAAATGAGCCTTAATACTAGGTAGAGTGATTCATCCCACTTTATCCTTTTCAAGGTTTTGAAAAGCTAACCTAAGGTTTCTGCCTTTCCAGAAAAATTTTAAATCAAATTTGACTATTTCTAGAAAAAGAAATCAGTAGGACTTTTATAGGCTTTCGCTGAATGTGTGTGTGTGTGTGTGTGAGAGAGAGAGAGAGAAAGAGAGAGAGAGAGAGAGAGAGAGAGAGAGAGAGAGAGAGAGAGAGAGAGAGAGAGAGATCAATGTGGGAGCTGACATTTCTCTCTGTTGAGTTCTCCATTCCATGAAATCAGTATGTATCTCTGTTTAGATTCTCTTTATTTATAACTTTCTACCTACAGGTTTACTTTATCTGAGTATAGTAGTTTTCACACTGTTTTAAAGGTATATATTTCATTATTTTGTTTTCTTTTACTTTATGAATGATGGGTTTTGGATTCCATATGTTCATCGCTATTACATGTTGCTGTCAGTGATTCCATTCCCAATGCTGCTGAGTTCTCTCACTAGTTCCCCTGTTTACATTCTTTGTGGTTTTCTGTGAAGATGATCCAGTCATCTGCAAATATGGACAGAGTGATTCCTTCTTTTACAATCTGCATGTTTTCTCTGCTTTTAGTTGTAGAACTTGTAGCGCTGTGTGACAGTGAGCTTGCTTTGCTCCTGATCTTACAGGAAGAGAAGTTAGTCTGAAAAACCCAGGGACTTCTCCTTTATTTCTAAATTGGTGCAGAAGGCCTTTTTCATAAAATGTCCTAGATGTTTTCATGTCAGTGATATGCCTATATGATGTTTCCTCTCTAGGTGGTGCATTGATTTATTTTCAGGTCTTATATAGCTGAAGTCTCACATTTCCATGGTCTAAACAGTTATTGAAACCCCAAGCTGTCTGTCTTGCCTGTCATTCATTGTGACATCATATATATATATATATATATATATATATATATATATATATATATATATATATATCTCACTATACTTTGTTTTGATTTCCCACCTCTCTCTTACCTCTTACCTCCTCTTTTTTATTTGTTTGTTTTCTTCTGTGCATCTTGTGAATGTCTTGTGCCTAAGGAGGACAGAAGAAGGTGTCAGATTCCATGGACTGGAGTTACAGACAACTGTGAGCAGACATTTGGGTGCTGGGAATTGAACCTGGACCAAAGTCTCCAGTGCTCTTAACCATGGAGCCATCTCTCGAGCTCATGTCCATTATTTCTTTTGACACTTATGCTTTCCTCTCCACGAAATATCATCAAATATAGTGTCACAAATGTTTACCAAACTGTTTGAAAATAGCCTTTATCTTTAGATCTCTGATCTATTTGTGGCTGATTTTTATATATGGTATAACATGACGGGCAGCTTTGCTCCTTTGCTTCTATGGTTATGCTGTTTATTTCTGTGTATTGGCTGTAGCATTGTCATTACCTTTCCCTTTGAATGTCTTCAGTTAGAGAAATAATCATGGACAATTCTAAAGTTTAATAGAAGAAACTGTAGTGGCATTTCAATTGTATTTTAATAAATAAAGCTTGCCTGAAGATCAGAGAGTAAAACAGCCCCACTGGTCAACCTTACAGACCAGGCAGTGGTAACACACACATTTAATCCCAGTAGTCACACTAGTTTGTCATAGAAACCGGGCAGTGCATGCCTTTAATCCCAGTGGTGCACAACTTTAATCCCAGCCCTAGAGAGGAATATAAGGCAGGAGGAAATAGCTCTCAGCCACAGTCTCATTCTGAGATTCCTGGAGGCAGGATCACCATTTTTGGACTGAGGTAGAGGTAAGAGCCCGTGACTGGCTATTTTTCTTTTCTTTTCTTTTTTTTTCTTGGTTTTTCAAGACAGGGTTTCTCTGTGTAGCTTTGGAGCATGTCCTGGAACTAGCTCTTGTAGAGCAGGCTGGCCTCGAACTCACAGAGATCCGCCTGCCTCTGCCTCCCAAGTTCTGGGATTAAAGGCATGCACCACCACCGCTCAGCCTCTTTTGCTTTTCTAACCTTCAGGTTGAACCCCAATTTCTCTCTCGGAGTTTTGATTAATTGCGCTTCAAGAAACTATTGAAATCTTCATGAGTGCCATGTAACTGCTGTGAAAGGAAGCCATATTTCTAAAACAATCTGCTAGGTGTGTCTGTGTCTGTATCTTAACCTCTTTGAGTTTGTAAGAGTATTCTCTATACATCATAGAAAGTGCCAGTTCACTCATCTCCAGGCATTTTCTGTAGTTCAGTTTCTGGATTAATAGTGGAGGAAACCATGGTTGAAACTCTTGGGGTTCATGCTTATGCTCTAGAACTCCCTAGCCCATGTGCTCAGAATATCTGGGATCATGTTCTAGCTCTGCTAGTCAAGGGGTGAGATGTGGAGTTGCATTCTTCTCTCAGTCCCCATCCTATGAAGAAGAGTGGTCAGAATCTCATTTAAAACCTTTTCTATCTGTTTTGCAGCTTTTCCCAAGTGGTTATGAGGTCATACAGGGCTTCAAGCCCTGAGACAAGAATACGCTATTTTCATGGTGTGACTTCTTAAAACTACGATGTGAGTATACATTTTGTTATTAAATGTATGACTCTTGCTGTCTTCCCTCCCGTTTTCAGAGAGATGGGACCATGTCACCACTACCACAACTAGAAGGCCAGGAACAACTAGAGCACCATCAAATCCCATGGGTAAGACAAGCTCTCTGAGGAGAGAAGTAAGGAAGGATTTTCTCATCATCTGCTTGTTTAAGTGAGTGTTTTAGTCAGGGTTTCTATTGCTGTGATGGAACACTATGACCAAAACCAAGTTGGGGAGGAAAGGGTTTATTTTGCTTACACTTCCACATCATTGTTCATCACTGAAGGAAGTCAGGGCAGGAACTCAATCCTGAAGGCAGAAGCTGATGCAGATGCCATGGAGAGGAGCTGCTTACTGGCTTTCTCCCCATGGCTTGCTCAGCCTGCTTTCCTAGAGAACCGAGGACCACCAGCCCAGGGATGGCACCGCCCACAATGGGCTGGGCCCTCCCTCACCACTCACTAATTAAGAAAATGCCCTACAGGCTTGCCTACACCTTGATCTTATGGAGACAATTTCCTAAAAGGGGTTTCTCCTCTCAGATGACTCTAGCTTGTATCCAGCTGACAGAAAAACCCACCAGGACAGTGAGTGATTGTTTTATTTGCTTGTTTTGTTTTGTGGTCCCCAGAACCAGATGGTTTTAACTTGGAGGATGCCTTGGATGATCAAAATGATCTTGATGACCGCAAAAAACCAAGTGTAGGAGAAGGAGGAGGTAAGACCTAGCTGCTCGAATTTACGGACCAATGCCACAGTTCCTGGGAGGGTCTGCTTTGTTGTCTGTAATAGAATTCATGCCATCTAGAGAACTGTAGATCAGGCCACTGCAAATTGCAGAACCCTACAGTAGTCATGCTGAAACTTTTTGATTTAAGGATTTCCCAAATTATGGGGACTCTCAATAACTTTGTCTATATAGGTCATATCCCTCAGTGTTTATCATCCATATATTTAAAACTTAGAAGAACAGTATTATCGGTCTAAAATGATTAATACTAAAGCCACACATATTAACATAAATAGCACAGTTTATGAGAAATTACTATGCATGGCATGATAAAAAGCAGTTTAGTGAGAAGAGTGGCATTAGTTTACATTTCTTAGAAATTTCTAGAATGCTCATCTTTCTAGGAGATACCTGGATTCTTATATTCAGATATGCACTTTGAAAGCTGTCTTCTGATCTGCACATGTGTCCTGTGGTACATGCATGCTTGTGCATGCACGTTTAGGTGTGCATGCATACATATATAGACACACAAATAATAAATGCAACTAAATTTAAAGGGATTTTAAAACAAATATGTAAAAGAACAACAAATAAAAGTGTTTTAGTAACTCTTCCTCACCCAGTCACCCTTTAGTTAATTTTCTAGCTGCCCTGACCAAATACCTGACAGCAAACAGAGGAGTTCATTCATTCATTCATTCGGCTGGCTTAAGGTTTCAGAATTGATTGGGTCCTAACAAAACTCAACTGGTCACGTTGGATCCACACTCAACATGCAAAGAGAAAGAGACAGGAAGTGGGCTAGTGAAACTCAAAGGTCACTTCCCAGTGAAATATTTCCAAAAGCTGAGGGTCAAGTGTCCCAACACATGAGCCTATATGGTCATTTCCCATTTGAACTGCAGCACCCATTCAATGGACTTGTGCCCATTTGTTGTTTTGAAACATTGCAGGTTAGTTTGGAAAATCTTGTTGTCTTGAGGTTTCTCAAACTTCAGTGTAATGCCACACTTTATTATGAAAACCCAAAAGCCACATCTACTACTAATACCACCAGTGTCACTGGAGAGTCTTCATGTCGTGGGATGCTATTAGACTCGCAGTAGCTGATAAGGGCCTCACTTAGAACCTCATTGACAAGTACCATCAGTGTCTGGCCTGAACTGATAAACCCATTTCATTCAGTTTTAAGAAATGCTTCCCAAATAATCAAGTTGGTACAGCATTCATTCTGCAACAAGAGTGGTCTCTTATGACACAAAGCAGATAAAAACAATTAGAACTGAAACAATCAGACAAGTGACTTTTGTGAATCACCTCTAGTACTTTAGAATACAGCAGAAAGGCTTTAAGCACACTTTGCATTTCAGCGATAGGACATTCAGGAAGATGTGCACTTAATAGTTGACTATAAATAACAATTCTGCTTCTTGTGTTAGATAGCTATGATTGTGTCACAAATTATAAGAAAGTTAGACTTTTTTTAAAAAAAGAAATTAGTTATGATTTCCTTTGTTTGGTTAAGAAGCTGAGTTTCCTATGTAGAGTCTCAGATAGCTGCAGTCCAGCTACTGGGATGGGATCTCATCTGGGCTAAGGTTTTCTTCATAACAAGGTCATGTAGTTTGTTGATGGAGTGTATTTCCCTTCAGCCATAGAGATAGTGGCCCCTTTAAGATCAGTAGGAGAAAGAGGACAGATTTCAGCTTCCCGTTTCTGAGCTCAGGGAAGCCCAAAACAAGCTTGGAAAGAGATCCCTTTGTTAAGTCAGGCTCTTAATTAATTTGACAAAAATCTCATCTTTGGCATATGATGCAACTTAATCACTAGGATTATGTTCATTTTCCTTGTGGTCACACAAATACTCGAGGTGACTGGAGGTTCTATAGAGTACTTGCATCGGCAGTGGCAATCTTAGGGCCTCCTGGAACTTAGCCTATCATATCCATTCTCTTTCTTCTCTCTCATCTTCCTTTTCTTCCTTCTTCTCCCCCATCTCTCTTGAGTTTTGGCACCAGGCATGGTTCTCAGGGCCTTAGGTGCTGTATCACAGAGCCATACTTCCAGTACCACAAAGAACATCCAAGTGTCATTGGCAACATTTATTAATCCGATTTCTTGATTCTGAAATAGTTTGGTCACTGAAATGTCTTTTTTTTTCTAGGTTTTTCAGACAGGGATCTTGAGGACATACTGGGAGGTGGAGGATACAAACCTGATAAGAATAAAGGTAGGAAGATTTCTTCATCCAACCTTACACACCTAATTCCCATTCAAATACTGACCAAGTAAAGCCTGCCATTCTTACTCAGCCTCTGGAAAATAAGCCTTAGACATTTCCACTTGTTACTTGGGGTGGCTTGTCACTCTTGGGGTTGGGGGCCCATTTGTAAGCCATCCTGGAGAAGCTGCCTTTTTCCTTCTGGATTTTTAAGCCAAGGCACTGCCTGAGGTAGTGTCCCCACCATGACAGAAGCATATTTATGGGACAGCACCAAAAGCCTGTGGTAGGACAGTCAGAGGCTTCATGGCATTAACAAGACAGCCTGCCCTACTTGGAGATCCAGTTTTCTGTGCAGTGGGAGGGTGCAAGCGTCACATGAGAATTATTTTAAAGAAGCACCTAGCAAATCATACTGTTTAGTAGTACCTTTGCATTAAAACTCGTTTAGCACTGGTAAAAGTTTTCAAATGGTTCCAAAAGGCTCCTGCATTCTCCTTACCCAGTTTCTCCCAAGGATCTTTGACTGCAGGTCCACAGTCGTAGATTATTTAAAATAGGCAGCTGACATCTGTACAATAAAGTCACCCACTTACCTTCTGGGGATTTTTGTCAGATCTCATCTTACATGCACTGGCATGTGTGTGTATGTGTGTGTGTGTGTGTGTGTGTGTGTAAAATTTAATCACACATGTAGATTTCAGTAGCCATCGCCACAGCTGGGGAGACATAATAAGTCCTCTTCTTCATGCTGCCCCCGAATAGCCACGTTCTTTCCAGAGTCACATGTTTGCAGTTCCTCCAGGTAGTAATAATTGAGAGCTTTCATCATTGCATAAGTCAAATTGTGTCTTAAGCATGGGGTGTGAGGTGTGAGCAGACTTGTGGTGTGTTGATGTTGGAACCTGTAGGTGTGGAACGCGACAGCTGCGACCTCTTGACTACCGTCGGCTGTGATAAGATGTTAGAATGATAAGGTGTGGTGTTTGAAACCCTTTCCTTATTAGTCCCTGCTGTGATGGGAAATCGTGGCAGTGTCTGAAGGCTGCAAGTTGTGAGTGTATCTGGATCGAACACTTTAAGGGTCCCTCCGCAAGTCCTGGCTGAAGTAGTAACATTTGCTTCTTTCTTGCAAGCACTGTGCCTTTCTTAGGGGAACAGTGTTCTCTTTTGCTTAAAGTGTACGGTAGTCACATTTGTCCCCAGCAACGCCTTTCCAGATGGTGTCATCTCTAGGAAAAAGCCCTCAAAACCTCTAAATGAAACTTCCAGGTGTCAGGAGAACATGGAGCATTTAAAGGGCAAACCCAGCAAATGAGCCAATTACTCCTGGGTGACAATTGCTATTTCCAGATGGGGAGACGAGAGCAGTGGTTGCGTGTTAGCTTGCACAGGATTGAAAGTCTGAGTGACATGCCAGGGGCTTTTCTTCATTAAAAGTACTTCTTTTAGCAAGGAAGAAGTGTTAGGAAATTCTTTAATTAGGCTCCTATTGGAGCTTGTCTTGTAAAGAATAATCAATTGTTGGCTTCAGTTATTGCCTCTGTCATCATAGGTGTCAGGGACATGGATGAGATTCACAGACACCGTTCCTTACACCAAAACAAGATCTCGAAGGGGGGTGAAGGGAAAGCATCACATTTACATAAATTATAAACTCAATTAGTGCACTTCCCAGACTTGAGTCTTCAAGACATAGCTTCAGTTGTTGTTCTTGAGTGGATCTCTGAAGTAATATATTATCTCTTGTGTGGTTTCCTCAAGATAGCATTATGGCAGACTGTGTCTGGCTCAAAATGTGTTTGTTGCGGGGTCCTCTTGCATCTATTAAAGTGAGTCGCTTGTAAACCCCCCACTTCTTTCTTGCCCTTCCTGAACTCAGATTGTTGTCCTTGTTTGCCAACAGCCTCCTCCTTTTTCTAGCATGGATGGAAGAGGTTCCAGAAAGGTCTCTTTGGACTTGTTTCCGCAATCTTTCCAGCTGTAGCCTGAGGAAATAGGCTAGAGCGTCTGCTGCTCTACAGTGTAGAGATGGGGCAGACACTGCCGGGCCCACCACATGCGGGGAGTGTGGCATGAACGGAGGGGAATTCTGAGGAACTCCCCTCAATATGTGAACTGGGTGTTTTACTGTCCCCTATCAGATCGGGGCAAGAGAACGCCAGGGAATGGATGACTGGGGGAGTTTCTGCGGCAGTGAGGGTACCTTTCCTGGTGGTTAGCCCAGCCAGTCAGTATGTTTTGACATGGTTTTTTCATTCGATTTTATTTGTTAACTGAAAGTCTTTGCAGCAATGTCTTTCCCCTTTTTTGTTTATTCTTTTTTTTTTCCTGGCAGGGTCTTATTTTGTAGCCCCAGCTTGCCTGGACATCATGAATTTCCTGCGTTAGCCTTCTAGATGCTAGGTTCAAGGGAGGCACCACCATTCACAGCATTATTCATTAATTTAAAACATTATACTTCTCTTTTTGAGACAATAAAAGCACATTAAAAAATATCTAAAAGCTCTAGCTGTGTCTTATTGGAAGTCTGGGACACTCACAATGTCCTTAAACACTTGAATACCTCCCCAACAGTTGTAGACATTATCACTCTACTGTTCCACGGTTCTGTGTGTCCTTGACAACCGGATGCATCAGGCACTCCGTGTGAGCCATGAGCTGGGCTGCCGTCAGAGAGGGGCAAGCACATGTCTTGTGTCCCTGTCTCTCCTGGTAAGTGGCTCTGTAGGATTCAAGGCTGACATCCATCTGTGCATTGTTGTATTTGTATCTGAGACTTCTCTGTGCACAGCAGAGCTTTTTTCGCAGCATCTTACTCCATTCTCTTTTGCTCTAATAGAATGCCCGAAGCAGAGTAATTAATAAAGGAAAGAAGTTTATTTACCTCACAGTTCTGGGAGCTGGAAGGCCAAGAGTGGTGGCTATCTGCTTAATCTCATGTCGTACCCTAACATGGCAGGGAAGCAAAAGGGCGAATGAGTGCAGACCCATGAGACAAAACACAAGGGCAGGCTCTCTTTGTAAAAACCCAATCTTGTGGTAACTAACCCAGCCCGAGGACAAAAGCCGTACACTGCTGCAGTGGCAATCAGCTTTCCCCACGGTTTCCATGGGAACAAGATTTATTCAAACCACTGCACACAACTTCCTTGCTGACGTAATGCCTCTTATTCTGCAGGGTCCATCCAAGTGATGGTGCTTGCTCTACCTATGTGGTTCCTATCTCTATGGGACCTGCTGTAGCAGTGGTTACCATTGCAGCGGTGATCTCGGCAGCAATGCTAGTCACTGTAGTTACATTTAGGGTCCCTGGAGATAGCTATTCTCTCCAACTATCTGTGTGAATAGATATGTATCCTGAAAACAAATTTTAGTAGAATGTATACCGTAGAAGGGGATCTTGGGCTGTCCTCACACTCAGGGCAGTCCTTTTGCCCCAGCCTCCCAGGAAGTTTGACTGTGTGCTGGGATTACAGGTATGTGTTCCTATACCCAGCGCATGCTCCTTTTAAAACCAGTGTCTATTCAATAAACTCAGTGTGTTTTTCTCTGTTCTGGAGATGACTTTGAAATCCTGTCAGTGACTACTCAGTACTGTATTCCACCATCATTTATTTATGCTGTAGCCTAGCTTGTGTACCGGCTCCTCGGCTTTTCAGCTCTCCACAGTGTTGAATGCTGTGGGGCCAACTGAAAGGCCGCAGTTGTTTCTGTCAGACCAATTCCTGACACTAACATTGCTGGGTCATAAGATGCATACATTTAAAAAAATGTTACTCTAAATGACATTACCAAATGATTTCCCATTAAGGTGGCACCAACCTCCAATTGCCCTGCTAGGAAGTAAGCAGGTATCCATTTTCTCCAATACTAACCTCAATCCACCAAGCATTATGGTTTTGTAATCTTTGTGAATTCAATCAGAACAAAGCATTTGTCCTAGTCATATTTTTCATTTCCTTGAGTCTGTGTGTTATTAGAAACTCAATATATTTTGTGATCTCCTCTTCATGTCCTTGGCCCATTTTTTCTCATTGTTTTGTAACAATTTATTTTATATTATAGAGCCCTTTTTCATATATTACCAAACATTTTATTTAGTTACTTGACAGTTGATGAACCACTGTACCAAAGGTCATAATGAACGAAGTATGTTGCTGTGAACATCTGTATACAAGTACATAGAAGTTTTGACATGGGCACAATTTTCAACTGTCTCGAGGATGCCTGGGCATGGGCATGTGCTCAGCATCTGCTGGAGCCTCTGTGCTGGGTGCAGACATGATGTGAAGGGTCGCCTGGAAGACAGAGCAAACATGCTGCCTTGTGTCTCTCATCCTTTTTTGATAAAGCCCCAGAGGTCAACCTGAGAGCTCCACCCTCATGACCTCGTTTAATCGTAATTGTTTCCCAAAGGCTTTCCTTTCAAATACCATTAACATATGACCCTAAAGATCAAGCTTTTGGCATCAGGAATTCTAGGAACATATTCAAACCGTGGAAGTGATATTGTTAGTGCATGCCATAACTTTCTTCCATGTTTCCAGGAGCTGCTAAGTGTTTCCACGGAAGCTGGGCAATTTCTTACCCTTACTGGCAATGTATGAGGCTTCGAGTTTCTCCACATCCTCCTTTTCATTTCCTCCCCTCCTAAAGTGTGGGGATGTTATGGCATGCTGAGATTCATTTGCATTTTTCTGCTAATTAAGTTTCCTTCTCTGATACGCATTTGTCAGTACTGGGGGAGTTATCATTTGACTTTTTTGTTTGAATATTTGTTAATTTGTTTTGAGAAGGGCCTCTGCTCCCAGTTCCTCTACTTCAGTCTGCTAAATGTAGAAATTACAGGCATGTGATTTCCCTTCATAGGTACCCCAGGTTTCTCTCTCCCTTTTCTCCCCACCTCACTCTTTTGTTTGGTCTCTGAGACTGTGGCATCCTATAGCCCAAGCTGCCCTTGAGTACATAATCCTTCTGTATTAGACTCCTTGTGCAGGGCTTTAAGTGTGTGCTACCACAAGCAATTTATTGCTCTTATTTATAATGCTTTTGAGGCACAAGTGTCTCTGCCTATCTTTCTCTGACTTTCTCGTCTGCTCACATTCACTTGCTCAATTTTGCTTATACGATGACTACTGAAGCTCTTACTTTTCATAGAATCTTTTCTATTTTGTATTTCGGACTTTATGATCATGTTTAAATGCTACCCTTTGTTCCTAAGGTGGTATAAATGCTGTCCTAAAATGTTTTGTGGTCTTATAATTTTATCCACTTTATTTCTGTTAGAAATTTATTTTCATGGACTATATTGAGTTGTTTAATGCCAGTTGGATTTGTCACTTGCCCTTATATTATCTTTATACACTGCATTTTGTAGAGAGCAGCTTGGGTCAGCCTATGCTCCAAGAAAATGAGTTTACCTCAGAGACCAAAGAGGGATGAAGACCATGACTTTGGCCTGAGCAATTCCAGTGATAGGCCAAGGTGGCTCACTTTGGTTCATGTTCATATGACAGAAAGATTTAAACTGAGACACACACACACACCCTCCCTCCCTCTTTGGTCTCTGAGCTCCACCCATTTTCTCCAAGCATAGGCTGACCCAAGCTGCTCTACAAAATGCAGTGTGTAAAAGATAGTATTAGGGCAAGTGACAGATTCACCTGGCATTAAGCCACTCAATGTATGTGTGCATGTGTGTGTCTGTGTGCATATTTTGCACATAACATGGAAGCTAGATGTCAATGTTGAATGTCTTTCTTAATTACTTTCTACCCTAGTTTTTGAAACAGGGTCTCTTCACTGAGCCAGAAGTTCAGCGATTTGGCTAGGCTTGCTCTCCATACTCTGTCTTGAGATGAAAGGAAGAAAAAGTCGAATCACTAAGTCCAAACTCCAGGAAGCTAGTGACGTGAACACATTCACAAAGGGCGCCTGTGTGGATGCTTAACTTTTACCCTTGGCAGTGAGCACTTGTAGGACAGCAGAGGGGACTGACAGGCCAGCACCCTTGGCCTCTGAGCACTGGCTGCTGGAATCTCAGTGCTCGTGGGTCTGTCCTCTAGCCTCTCTGCTTTCTCCTGCACCAGTGATGCTGTCATGTCGGTGCTTAGCTGCGTGTGGGGTGATGATGCGTGCCTGCAAGTCTGTCTAGAGCACTGGCTTTCAGCTTTTGGCTCATGACCCCCTGGGGTTGCATATCATATATCTTGCATATTGGATATTTACACTAAAATTCATGACAGTAGAAAAATTACAGTCATGAAGCAGCAACAAAAATAATGTTATTGTTGGGGTCCCCACAACATGAGGAACTGTAATAAAGGGTCGCAGCATTAGGAAGGTTCCAGGGTAAGGCAGGAAGATCTGGAGTTTCGGGTTGGCCTGGGCTATATACCCTGCCTCAAAAACAGAACAGAACAACAATGCTGGTGCTGTTTTCATATTTTATTTAACTATTTAATGTTTTATGTGTTTGGGTATTTTGTCTGCCTTTGTGTCTATGTACCGTTGCATGCCTGATGCCTAAGGAGGCCAGAAGAGAGTGCTAGATCCCCTGGAACCCGAGTTATCCATGGTTGTAAGCCACCTTGTGGGTGCTGAAAATTGACTCAGGTTCTCTCCAAGAGCATCTGGTTCTCTTAAACCCCTCTTTTAGTAAGTAGGCAATCAGAGATGTTTATAAAATGCCTTTAACTAGAAGATTCAGCTCCACGTAGTAACATAACAAACTTCATTTTCCCTCCCAAGACTTGTTTTTACAGTAGTTTTAAGCTCATAGCAAACCAAGTGGAAGGTACAGAGTTCCCGCATCCCACCTGCTCACCCCATAACCTTCCTTTACTCCAGCGGAGTGTTTTAACACTTAGAAACCGAGACCCTTTGACTGGTGAGGGAAATGTCAGTGCTTGTCACTTCCACCGTCATAGAAGAGCTTGTTGTCTCCATGTCCTAAAAGAGTCTCTCCTAAAATAGTCCTCCCCCAATTTCCACCAATTTCCTGAGAACATCATCTTCTGTCAGTGAGCATGAGGCCCTAGGATGAACTCAAGACAAGTTGACATGGCAACCTGTTGCTTGTCAAGGAGTTGTTCAGCAGGAATGGGGGGTCTCTCTCTGGGGAAGTGTGCATGTGTTAGCCTAACAGTTTTATCATGTGATGATAATATATCACCATAATCAGAGAAATCATTCTATCACAAGGAACTCTCTCCTATGTCCTTCCGTCATTCTCCCTAACCTAAATTAGCATCAGTGCTAATCTGTTCTGCATCTCTATAATATTTGAGAACTTTTTGGATATGAAAATATTATATGTGGCCTTATGTCTTTGTATGTGTTTATGCTTCAACTATTTTGGTCTAGATGTGCAGCAGATACTACTTGGTGTTGTAATTTGCAGTCAGGTCTAATTGCTTTTTGGTCATCCTTCATCTGCCTGCAAGCCTTTGCTCTGTCCCTTGTAAGATGGGGATGCTAAGTGAACTGTCCCTATTGGATAATGAAGAACTAAGCTTGAAGCCAGAGCCTAGGGAGTATTGTATGTAACAAGAGCTCAGTGTATAGAAATAATCATTTCACTAGGCCTTCTGGAGGCCTGAACCTACTCATCTTGGGGCCTTAGGGGTTAAAGCAGATGCTAAATGCCTTTGTCCTTTCCCCAGGTGGTGGCGGTTATGGCAGCACTGATGACCCTGGATCTGGTGGGTATCTATGGCCCAAAGTTTCTCTTGGAACCACAAGGAAAAATAAGACTGGCCCACTCTGGTCTTAGAGATTCTCTTTCCTGGCCTTCCCCAAATGTTTCCGTTAGTCAGCTTTCCATCACCATGAGAAATTAAAGAAGATAAAGCATATGCTGCTCGTGGCTTTCGAGGTGCTAGTGCATGGTCTCTTGACCCGGATGCCTTTGGACCTGTGGGCAAGTGAACTATCATGGCTAATACCCATGGTGGAGAAGGTACTCAGCCCACCTCATGGGTTCTTAGCAATACATAGCTGGCTGTTATAACAAAGCTCTGAAATCCATTCCACTGCAACTCCATCCCTTATTGAGGGTGGAACCTCATGATCCAGTTACTTTTCAAAGCTAGTATTGTTCCTCATTCTGCATAAAGGAAGCCTTCACCTCATGATCCTGTGGAGGGATAGTTCACATCTCAATCACCAGTTATCAATAGAATCAGGAGGCAAATAGCAGAGAAGAGCACCCACTCAGTGGACGTAACATGAAGAGCTAAGCCCTGGCATAGGTGGCCCAGTGGAAACCTAATGAAACAGAGATAATTGGGTATGTCTCTGTAAGAGAGGACTGCAATCTGCCTCTCGTGTTTCTCAAGATGAAAGTCTTTATGGAAGACCAGAAGCACTTGGCAAATCCAAGGGGCACCATGTCATTGCTATGCCATGGGTATCTGTGGCATAGCTCTTCTGCCTGCACTTGGAAATTATGGACATCTGAGTCAGCATAACTAGGGACTCTCAGAGCAGCAGAATCCTGAATGAACTTTTGGCACTTGGAGTTGGGGTCTTGTCTACTCAGTTCTCTCCCTTCTTCCATGTCCAGGCATGTCGACAGAAACTGGCAGCATTGCGGGTGTGGCCAGTGCCCTGGCCATGGCCCTGATTGGAGCTGTATCCAGCTATATCTCCTACCAGCAGAAGAAGTTTTGCTTTAGCATTCAGCGTAAGTATGGATCCAAGCAGGGAAAAGGGGTCAGGCAGGTTCTCACCCTTTCCCCCACCTGCTCAATAGCAGCAGGCTTCCTAGCAGGCACATCTTGTACATTCTTAGAGGCAAAATCAGGCCAAGCTGAAGGTTATCCTTGTCTGGAAGAGTGCATGGAGCCAGAAATGAGAGATCCTTATGACCTCAGATCTCTCCTAGGGCATGTGTGGCCTTTAGAGGCCCAGGGTCATAGCCCCTGTACTGACAATCAGAATAGTATAGTGTCCTCGAGTCTCTTTGACATGTCAGTGGACATCTCCAGGCCTTTTGTGATTCTGGAGGTACCCTTTCTGCTCTTGATTTCTTGATATGTCACCACTCGGATGCCCTCTGCTCCTCTTCAAGTCAGATCATTTAAAAATTTATGAACTCCTAAGTTGTTTGAGGAGTAGTAATGGAAGATCTCTCATCGAGTGATTTTGACTTTCTATGAGTTGGAATTGTGGAGGCCAGATTGCTTTTGTTGTAGGCTGTAGCCACAAGTATGGCACCTGTGGCTGAATCACATAGTTACGGAGGCTCTTAGGCTATTTTTACACCATGGCGTGGAGCCTCTGAGGATGCTGTTGAGGGAGAACAGAAGGACCAGATTTGTTGGTTTTAGTACCACAGCATCACTATGTCAAGTAGAATGTCTCCAGTTTCGGGCTGGCAAGGTTTACTTCAGGGGAGGGTGCATGACTCGGCCATACTTTCTCCCTTTCCTTGTCTTTCTCAGATTTTTTTTTAATTTCTGGGAAGCTTAGGGCCATTTCCTTTGGTCTCTAAATGTCCTTGGCATGGGCTTCTGCTTTTGGTGGTCCCTGGACCAGAGATTCTCAGGAAATTAACCTGGCTTCTGGGATTCTTTGTGTGTGGGCCTGATGACTGTTTTATCATCTGACCACAATATTGCCTATTCCTTTAGCTCTCATAGAGCATTTTTGTCTGGGATGCTACATGCTTGGTGCTAGGGTGGGTAGGAACACGGAAATATTTGGGGATGAAGACTAGATTTTTCCTACCTAAGCATTCTCAAGATGGCCTTGTGAAGAGGTAAAAAGATAACGCTTTGAACCTGAGCTGTGGCAAAGTTAGGAATTAACTGAGGGAAACATGCTATTCTGTGTGACTGATCAAAGTCATTAATATCATTTAGCAAATAGTTTTTTATTAATTTCTAGCCAGTCTCCTGCTCAGTGATGCTCTTAGACAGTGATGGGTAGGCCTGGGACCAGCTGGAGGCCTGGATCTGTCTTCACAACTGCCGAACATCTAATTCTGTTGGAGGCACTGTAGCAGGTCCATTTGTGCCATGGTTTTCTCATCATTTCTCCTCCTATGTGGTTAGGGAAGCCAGTCCAGGATTCAGCTTTAGCAATGAAGAGGTTGCAAGTCCTTCAAACCCAAAGCCTCTTTCCCTGCCCCGATGTGGGAGCCATCAGGGCATACCAGAGCAGTTCACTAGTGAGCAATTCTTCCTTACTCAGCATTCTTAGCTTCTTGTGGTTTCTAGGACCGAGAACTGTTGTGATTGCAAACAACTGTATGTGATGGCCATGCCCATAAACCCAGCATTAGTAAGACTGAGGCAGGGGGATTGGGATTCTATAGCAATCTGTGCGACAAAGTGAGTTTCAGTCTAGCCTGGTCTATAGTGTAAGGCATTGTCTCAAATCAGGTACCCATAGGACCACACTCCTTGCAGAGACCTTGGAGAAGATGCTGCACCACATCTTTTAGCTTTCCAGGCGATCCAGGTGCTCCTTGGCTTGTGACTACATTACTTTAATGCTGTCTCCAACTTAAATCCTGAATGCAGGCATTCTGAGATCCTTACTTGTGTTGGCAAGATCCCTATCCCAGATAAGGTAACATTTACAGGCTTAACAGTGGGGTCACAGGGACTGATGGGAGAGGCCTAGCATAGCTTCATGAGGTGGACAGGTTTCAGTGAGGCCAGAGAGGCACAAAGGGAGGGAGACTGCGAGGGTCTGGGTCCAGCCCTCATCTGTCCCACTTGCTCTGTTAAGGAGATGGCGGTTAGGAGCGCTCCCAAGCTAAACAAGCAGGCTAGGCAGGCTGACTTGCTTACATGGGGCTGGGACCTTAGACTTCATTGTCTCTCCCGCTCCTGCGTCTGTCCTCCCAAGCTGGAAGTCTGCCGTCCTGCGGTGCCTACTCTTGACAAGCCCCACATGTTTCCCTTTTCTGGTTGCCCGTCCGTTCCTCTTTGACTGTCTGCCTTGCACCTCGCCTTCTTCAGGGAGAACCGTTGAAATATACTGGACTTCCCCACGTTCCCTGATGATTGATTACAAGTCACAGCCCAGACCCTGAACTGAACCTGACATTTAAAGTCCTGGCTATTTGGCTTCTCCTTGTCCCCAGGAAGTCTTCCTTCTCCATAGCCATTTCCCCTTTCTATGTGCTTCGCCTTCTCCAGGATACAGCCTTACTGTTCCAGCCTGGGGTGTCCTCTCCCAGCCTTTGTCGTTTCCCCTCTGCATCCCTCCTTTCTGCTCTTACTGTGGCATGGGGTGGCCTCTCCCAAGGAGCCTTCTCTCTGGCCAGTCTGGGACTGCAGCAGCCATGCTGCATTGTGCTGCCACAGCGCCCCCTGCTGACCTTGTTCGAGCCTGGATTAGGCTGCAATTTCCATGTCTGACTAGACTCAGCTTGCACCTCTCTTGACTGTCCATTCTGGAGCTGTGTGAGGCAATGTCACTGCCGCTGTGATAGTGCACAATCAGGAAGTATTCCAAGGGTGCTTGTGTGGGGGGTTAGCTTTGTAAGAAACAGGTGTGTGCTTCTGATCTCCACTGTCTGACTGGATTGCTGATTAGAGTCAAGCGTGGCCTCCAGTGATTGGAAAGCCCCAGGGAGATGGATGTCAGGAGGACCTGCCCCTACCTCTTTGGCCTCCAACCTCTGTTGCTACCAAAGCGGTTCCCATTTTGGGAACACTCAGTTCCCCTGCCCACCCTCAGGGCCAAGTATCAGTTGAATCTCATGTAAATACCTGAAGGGTTTGTTGCCCGGAGCTGAGTTCTTACTCCAGAGTTCTAAGCTTCGTGTCTTGCCTTTGGATGCAGCAGAAGGGCAAGGTAACCATGCGTTTTGACTTCTCATGTTTCTTGTGCTTTGGCCCTGGAAGCCTCACTATTCCCTTCTCCCTGCTCTCTACCTAGCCTCTCTCCCCGGCATTCACTAATTTGCCTGTGACCATACCATCTGTAGCCTTTCCTGACATGTTGTAAGGCTGCCATCTGCCACCTCATCTATTCCCAGGCCCAAGATAACTGGAGTCAGGCATGTCCATGGGGTGGGGGGCACTCATACCCATGGGTGAACATACCCCAGAAGCCACTGGAGGAAAAAGGCTATCTCCTGCTTGCCAAATGGGAGTACGGGCAGTGGACTGGAAGCCCAGGGCACGTCTTCCAGCTCCTGCTCATTGGCACTGGGGCCATCGCCTGCCTGGCTTTGCATGATAGTTAACCACCCCTGCTGGAGAATACTACCTACATTTTTCACAGGCCCATCTGACTTTCCCTTTGAACCCAACAGCTATTATGTCCAGTAAAATCCAGGAAAATGACTTGTGTCCAGTGAGTTGGTCAGTTAGAATCAGAACCCATTTTCCCTGCAGGCCCTCAGTTAAGAGAGAAGACACAGAAGACTCTGGCACTTATACAAATAGGGGTATAGCGCTGCTCCAAGTCCTTGAGTGATGGGTGACCTTTGACCGAGTGAAGAGGATGCTTTGTTGAGTTGCTTCATTGTCCTTGAGGATAATGTGTGTGTGGGGGGGGAGACACTGATTACCAACTAGACTGGAACAGCTGCTCGTACACCCTGGGTCCTCCAAGTATGAGGAAGGACAATAGTCATTCCTGGTGGCTTCCTTGTGCATGCAGTCGCTGGGAAGGTCACATGCTGGCGTTTCCAGAGAGAGCTTCTGTGCATCTATATCTGCCCCTCCTTACCCTGCATCCATCAATCATTCCCTTTAACTCTTGGCTCCCTCTTTACCTCCCTGGACTCTGGGCCTCATATGGTTTTATGGATGGTCTGGAGCCCGGTCATCTGGTACCTTCTTTGCCTTGACATGGTGGCAGTGGTCCTTTATGGAAAGGGGCAGGGGGATTGTTGGGTATTTGATGCATGATGCTGTTTGCGAGGATGGTGATGGTCCTGGGCAATGTGCTCCTTGGTGGCCAGTCTTTGATTCAAAGATGATGTGCTGGGATTCAGGGACGGGGCTGATTCTGGCAGGGTTACTGTCATAGCAGACACAGTCAGGAGTTCTCAGTCATGAGGGCTCCTTTGTTCCCTCCTTGACTTTGCTCTTGCTCTTTGCAGAGGGCCTCAATGCAGACTACGTGAAGGGGGAAAACCTGGAAGCCGTTGTGTGTGAGGAACCCCAAGGTGAGGACTTCTCCATCAGTGCCCCCCTCTGAAGGCTTTCCAAATTCAGTGGCTCCAACACTGAAGACACCTGGGTTAGGGAGGCCCATAAGAATCTGCTTCTGGAATGTCTGCTCATTACAAAACCTTCAGGGGCCCAGGTCTGCCTGTATCCTGTGACTGGTCAGCTGGCCTCCCTGTTTCTTAAGAATTGGGACACTGGCACCATGGTGATGACTTCTAGGTACTTTTGCTGCTCAGCCCAAACTGTGGAATCATCTGAATGTGAGCCCAGGACACCTTACCTCTTTGCCAACACACACATATGGCCTGGGCATGCTTATCCATGGGAAAGGTTTGCATCTAGACCTCTACTCTGTTTTCAACTTTTGTATGTTTGTGACAGAATCTCAGGTAGGCAAGATAGCCTCAAATTCACTTTGTAGCTAGGAGTAGCCTTGAATTTCTGATTCTTGTGACAGAATCTCAGGTAGGCAAGATAGCCTCAAATTCACTTTGTAGCTAGGAGTAGCCTTGAATTTCTGATTCTCTGCTTCTACCTCCTGAGTGCTGGGATTGCAGGTGTATGTTCACCTGTAATGGTCTCTAGAGCTTTCAGTTAGAAAATGGCTAATGACAAGGAGACACATAGTTCAAAGCCAGTTCTGTTATCCTCTGTGGGGTTATTGAGCACTTTTGGGGTTCAGTGGCTACCAGTAATTAGAGGCTACATATGGTAAGGCCAAAGGAGAGGGAGAGGACCATTCCTGTGGCCCGAGATTGCTCCTGGGGAGGCATGGTTTCATGAGGCAGTGAGGTAGCCTGCTCTCCCAAAGCTGAGCCTGTGCTGGCACTGACAAGGAGACAAAAAGAGCAGAGCTACAGGATGGCAGCTATGGAGGCTGGTGCTGAGGAGGGATGAGGCTCTACCTGGTCTGTAATGGAGAGTGAGGTCCCCAGGCCACTGCTTCTGCAAGTTTTTTGGTAGTGCAGCACCACAGATATGGAAATGGCCTGGGTGCAGTGCAGAGGTGTGGATTCTGTCGCAGCTGTAATTCTTCCACCAACCCTGATGAACACCCAAGGGCTGTGATGAATGCTTTAGAGCCACTAATCCAGAAGCGTGCCCATTTTCTAGATGAGGAAATGGAGGCAGGGCTCTTTGTGCAGCCTGACAGGCATCTGCCTTTACTCCCCTTGACCCAACCTGAACTTTGCATCCAGGACTCATGGCAGTCCCTACAGGGCTCGGTGAGCAGGCCTCGGCGGTGCTGACCTGCCCATGCAGCACAGAATTCAACTGCTAACGGGACTTGGGTAGAGCAGAGGTCGCAAACTCCCCTAACACATGTCTTCTCTTCCCAGTGACATACTCCAAACAAGAAACACAGTCTGCAGAGCCTCCACCACCTGAGGCACCCCGGATCTGAGGCCCTGTTCAGTGGCAGGTGCACAGGAAGGGTGCCACCGCTTGGGACCCAGCTCCAGATTTCATTTGCTGACCTTTTCCTCAAGTTTCTTCTCATGCCACTGGCTTCTTATTGTACTGAATTTTCTGTACAAACAAACCTTAGGTGTTTGTGAGTGTCGTTTCTGTGCCCTGTCCTGCAGAGTATGGTGACTCCGAAGAGACTTGGTGCTGAGACCTAAGACCTGCCTTGAGCAGATCACGAGCATTACAAGTTGCTGGGTCAAAGAGACAGCCTGTTCCAGCCTTAGCATGGGAAGAAGGAGGGAGACCAAGGTGAGGGTGTCCCAGAGGATGGTGGAGACAGTGCTGAAGGAGAACATTTCTGCGTAAGCAATCCCTAGGTCCTATGAGACTCTTCATCTAGAATGCCGGAGGCCTTGCTGGGACACTGGCCACTAAAAGCTGTGAGCAGGTTGCTCAGCTAGCGTCTGGTACAAGTGGAGCCTCTGCAAGAAGCAGATCGGCCAGCACCAAGTGCACACACACACACACACACACACACACACACACACACACACACACACACACACACACACACCTAGGCGTTTAAAAACATTTTGTTGTTCTCTCCACAACTTCGGGTTCCTATTGCTCAGCTTCCAGAGAGCTTGTCCAGGTGGGGCACGAGCTCTTTAGTTATTTTAGTGCAAGCATGCATCTCACAGTCACCTCACCCTGAGTTTAGGAATCTGGAGAACGTGGGAGCTGTGACTTGCCGGCTTGATTCCCATTTGATTCCATAAGGGTCTCTGGCTGGCCTGGTAACTTCTGCATTGGAAACGCGTTTTCTACCAGGTTGGGGTAGGTGCTCACCCCTGCCTTGTACATTATCTTATTTCGGTAGCAAGAGTTACAGAGCCTGAGAATGAACATGGAAACCAGGAGCATGGTTGCTGCTTTACTAGGAGCAAATGGGGACGGGGGAGGGGGGGAGGGAAGCTGGTTTAGCCGAGTGGAATGTCACTGCTGCCTTTGTAGTCCTGTAGCTTGTCCTCATTGCTATAGTGAAGAGGGCTCTGGCCATGTTCACTGTGATAAATAACAGGAAACCAAGAACTAGGGCTTCACCAGGCCCAGAGATGCCTGCTACCACCTAGTTGGGGCCAGAGCTGGCTACTTCCTGGATTGTTCCTTTGACTTTTGGCTCTTGGCTTCTGTGAGCTCTGCAGTGAACCCTGCAATTGAAAGCTAAGCTAATTTAATGTGAACTAATAGTTTGTCCTGTCAAAAAGCACTTCAGAAAACAGTGTGTGTCACTGGGAAAGCAAGATCCTACTTACAAAACTCACAGTTCCTCTGGACGACATGATGGCCCCATATATTCCACAGACTGTGAATTGGCTCCTTTACATCCGCTGAGCTGGGATAAGGAACACCCACCTTAAGAAACCACTGAAACCTTGTGCTGTCTAATGCATGCCGTGAATGTGTTTGTTCTTTAAAGACTATTCATGGTGGAGGGCTGGTGGTGTCATGTCTCCAAGCAGCCTGAACACTCGTTCTCTGTGTGTACCTGTGGGCTATGAGATGCCCCTTTTGACTGGCCTTTGGTCCCAGGCAGACTAGGTCTGTGGATCTGATAGGGAGGCTGGAACACTGGGGAAATGGCACCAAGATGGAAAAAAAAAAAAAAAAAACCATGGCCTCAGGAAGCCCCCTTTGTTCTTCAGCAAGTTAATTAGCAAGGGATGCTTGCAAGATGTGTCGGTTTCCAGAACCTTCTAACTTGCTGGTCAGATTGCTGTCAGCTTCCTCAGAATTGTGCCTCACTGACACCAAGGACATCAAGAGACAGCGATGCCACCTTCTGGCCAGTGCTGAGCTAGAGGTGGCTTAAGGAAGACTTTAGTATCTGGCCTGTTGTCGTGTAGCTAAGGTAATCTCAGGGGGGTTGTCTACTTTACCTTTATGCTGAGGCCTGTCTGATGGCAAAAGCCCTTGAACCCCACAGCCATGATGTAAAATAAATGCCCTTTTGTGAAATTGTTTTCTCAATAGCACTGGTTCCAGTGAAAAAGAGCTCTACTTTGCTCTCCCTTAGCTACCTCGGTGCCTTCTGCATAAAGCCCTTCTGCATAAAACCCATCACTCAGCCCGCAGGCGCTAGCTAAGTGGCTGGACAGGCCTGGGCGGGCCATCGGCCTCCTGTTCATACAGTCTCATCCCAGGGGCCGGGCTCCTTCTTCCCACTGGCATTTTATACTTGCTGGGGCATTGTGGCCTGCAGAAGTCATGGGACTGGTCTTCTATGTCCCCGCTGAAAGCTGAGCTGGCCAACTTGGGCTAGTCCCAGGTAATAGACGGGAGAAAGTGAATAAAGTGGAAGAGCCAATTGCCAAGATCAGATCTCTAGAGGTGTGACTTGACAGGAAGAACTTCAAAAAAGCTCCTCAACATTCTCAAGTGGCTTGATGCAGGGGACTGCCCACCCTGCTGTGGGACAGGCCTGCTGTCTCAGCCATTTGGGTTGTAGTTAGTACCAGTTCTCCGAGGAAAACGTGTTGGAGACTGCCAGAATCCCTGTACATCGTTTTATGTGCTTGTGTCCAAGTGTGAATTGTAAATGGTCTAGTGTTTGCATTAAACAAAATGGAATCCAACAGCTTTTTGTGTTCTGATGATATCCATCTTTTCCTACTGTCATTTGTGATATGACACTGACTTCATTCCCCTTTCCCCAGCCAAAGGTGTGTGTTGAGCAGGTTGGCCTTTTGCTATTAGTCCCCTCCAAAAGTGTCCAATTTCAGGGCTGGTAGGCTCACATGGCATAGGAACTGTCTGATGTACTGGGATGAGGGGAGGCCAGAGCAGAGCACCTTTGCCATAGCATCATTTCCTTCAAGAGGATGAGCATTGGCTCTACCATCCAGGTAACTCTGGAGCATCCTGCTCAGACCTCAAAGTGAGCCAGGAATGAGTGCGCTTTCTTCCATGGGGCGCTATTACAGGTGGCAGTCTGGGAGGCAGTCCAACCCTCTTGTGCCTAATATTGGGCTCTCTTGCTAACTCAGCCATGATTCACATGAAGAGGGTGAGTAATGCCCTTAAAGAATGGTGGCACACAGGAGGTGGTGTAATTTCACACTAGGTTTTAGAACCTTGAAAAAAGTACACAGTCCCATAGAGCCGACAAGGACTGAAGAGAACAGCGTATTTGCATAAGGAGAACCACTGCTTCTGCTTACTCCAGGTCTTTGTATCTTCAACATTTCTTCAAGGTTATGAACAAGGGGACTTTCAGATTTGAAAATCAGATCACCTACCTGTTCCAGCCCAAACACTCAAGACTCACACTAAATTACTGACAACTTAGTAAGTCAATCAAGTAGCATTGGGCATAGTGGACAGTGAGGACTACTGAGAACTCAAGAACAATGGCAATGGGTTTTTGATCCTACTGCACGTACTGGCTTTGGGGGAGCCTAGGCAGTTAGGCACCTTACTAAACCTGGATGGAGGTGGGCGGTCCTTGGACTTCCCACAGGTCAGGGAACCCTGATTGCTCTTCGAGCTGATGAGGGAGGGGGACTTGATCGGGGGAGGGGGAGGGAAATGGGAGGCGGTGGCGGGGAAGAGGCAGAAATCCTTAATAAATAAATAAATTTAAAAAAAGTAGGCCGGGCGGTGGTGGCGCACGCCTTTAATCCCAGCACTTGGGAGGCAGAGGCAGGCGGATCTCTGTGAGTTCGAGACCAGCCTGGTCTACAAGAGCTAGTTCCAGGACAGGCTTCAAAATCACAGAGAAACCCTGTCTCAAAAAAACCAAAAAAAATAAAAAATAAAAAAAGTAGCATTGGGCACTTTACATATATTAACTGTGGCAGGCGTATAGTAAGCATTCAACATGCTATTTTATTAGTACTCACTTTCCTCAGGTGGAAAGCTACTGGAATGGCCAAAAGAGACAACAAAAAGACCAGGGAGCAAACATATTATAATTTTAATTACACGTTGGGATACAGTGCATCAGATGAGGCAAATACAATATTATACTAGTTGTTTAAAAATCTGAACCTTAAAGGTTTTACATTCTAGTACTTAAATAAAACAAACATGAAATAATTGTTTCTATAAGAAAACTACACTTCAAGTTGTTTTAGAAACAGTTCTGTGCTAGAAACATACAAAGGGAAATACTCTGTTGTGCTTCTTTAAAATCCAATGGAGATTCCTTGGGGTGCTGCAGGCACACAGCTGGGGGGAGGACGTGGCCTGACCAGGGGACAGATCCCAATCTGCCAGGGTGGCTGACCACCAAGCAGTGGTCCCTATCGCTTCTCTGGTTCTGTCAAAGCATCATCCAGCCCACCCTATGTTTAGTAGTCCTGTTGTTGCTGGGGAATTACACAGTATTTCTAAGGAAAATGTTCCCAGTTTTAAAAATTATATGAAGGAAAAATATTGTAGTTTGTGTTATTTTCTTTTTGGTATTGACTTTGAGAGAGGGTTCCACAATATAGCCCAGCTGGTCCAGAACTCAATATACAGTTAAAGCTGGCCCTGAACTCATGGCAGTCCTACTCAGGCATGGCAGTTTATCCATTTACAAATAAGGTGTTGTATATATGAGGAGAATAAATCAAAACTAATATGACAAACTATAGTTTAGAAACAAATCCCCTAGATGATAAAAATGGAGACTTGATCTTAGCTTATCAAACTTTGAATAAATGTCTCTAGTTATCTTATGGTTGGATAGTTTTCTGTAAGAATCAGAATGTTCCAAGTTGAAAAATCATCTACTTTCTATGTATTCAGCTGTAGAAAACCCTTTAGGAATATGTTTTGAAAACTGAGATCAACATGTAGAACTGCATGGCATCCAGTGAGTTGACGCTGACGAGAGGAAGATGTGATGCATCTCTGCTCAGGGGCCGACTCTGTCAGCTTCGAACGCATCTCCAACTCTGAAGGACCTAGTGACATGCAAAACTAGGCATGTCAGTGGGGGTGGGGATGCTGGCACTGCACACAGAGGAGCTGATGGGAAATTCATTCCTAGAAGGACTGCTGGAGTAGCAGAGCTCATTTGTTAACTGCGGAGTGAGGCCTGGATAGCCGAGGGTGGCTCCGAGAAAGGAAAAGCAAGGAAGGAAGAGCATGCTATGCTTTCCAAACCAAAGCTGCAACACATTGGTTGCTTTAAAGAATGGACAAGCAGCTATTAGGTAAACTGAGAAGGGACTGTGATAAATGAAGACATGGTGTCCCGATATATAGCAGGGAAAGCAGACTTGCTCTGACACGGCTGCTGGACATCTTAACAGGTGGTAGGATGCAGGGTTCAATGGCCAGAACAATTCCCAAAACTTGATCTTTTAGAGAGCCGTCAACACACACACAGAATTGCTGCTTGAGCCCTCAGTTTACCTGCAACAACCTAAGGACTGAGCATTCATAATTCTCTGTTACCTCTATCAGTGAATAAATGGGTTGTGCCGCCTCAAAAGGCAAGTCCCAGAGTTAGAACAATACTACATTGCCACTGAGATGACATATCTGAAATCTTAATTCAAATGTACCACACAAAAGTCAGCATAAACTCTGTTGGGCAAGAATTTCTCATACAGCACAGTTCAGCAGATGACTCCTGAGACAACTATTCTAAACATAAAAAAAGGACATAGGAAAATAAAGGCATGTTTCTCTTTAAAAAATACCTGTATGTACACAACAGTACATATTGTACCAATTGTACAGGAGGACTTCTTGCATGAAGATAACTGTAGAACAAGTGGCAGTGGTCCATTTGCCACACTAGCATTTCATTTAGAACCAGTTTTCAAATTGTGCTGAAAGGCTGAGAGAAGCCACATGGCTTGTGATGTGTTCTATACGTGAACAGGTTGTTCCTAACAAAGGACTTAACTTGGAAAGAAGTAGTAGGAGATTCTCTTAAGCTGAAATACCACACTGTATTCAATCTAGTTTTTCCCAAGCTACCTGTACAAGACAAGGTAGCTCACAGGGTGGGTGTCACATCTTATGCCCCTGTGAGACTGCCCTCAAGAAAGTCACAGGCTGTTCACATAAAAGAACTCATTAATAGGAGCTGTCACCTAGCCACACAAATGGTCTCTGGACCTAATCCTAAGATGACAACTAGAACCATAAAATCATTGGCCAGGTCCCTGAGCTGCTGGAAGACAGTAGAGCAGAAGGATGGTTGGCCCAGGACACTGGCCTTGTTCATCAGACTGAGGTGTGGACAGGAGTGACCGAGTGGGTAGGCGAGGAGCCTCTCTCAGAAGCTGAGATGGCTCGTGTGGCCACCTCCCGCTGCAGATCTTCCACACGCTTCTGCAGCTCAGCCTTGACAGCCAGCAGCTCCTTGAGATTCTGGTGAATTGGCATCTGGCAGTGAACAGAGATAAGGCTGTTAGCATAATGCTGCTGGAGCATGGTTTGTTCCAAACACAGCATTTCAGTATCTAGGCTCATAGCCTAATGGTTCTTTACCACCCAGACATCTATGTGCCTAGACTCCTGACCACTGACCAATGTTTCACCAAGTGTAAGTGACTGTCTTCTAAGGTCAGGGTTTCTATTTCTGTGATATTACACCAGAACCCAAAACAACTTGAGGAGGAAAGGGTTTGTTTCAGCTTACAGCTCTCAGGCCACACTCACCAAGGGAAGCCAGGGCAGGAGCTCAAAGCAGGAACCTGGAGGTAGGAGCTGAAGAAGAGGCCATGGAGGGGCGCTGCTTGCTGGCTTGTTT